CGCCGCAGCCAGTTCGAAAACGCCCTATCTCAGAAAACTTTTCAAGAACGCCCCACTTCAGAATTTGATTGAAGAACGCCCTTTTTCAGAATTTTATTGAAAAGCACCTGTTCGGAGCAGCAGCGGATAAGCCAGCAACATAAAATATGTTTATCAAAATCAATATGAATAACGTTATCTGATCACACTGAAATTTTCATACTCAATTGAGCTGCATATTTACTTGTATGTATTTAAACTGTGCTAATTTTGTTTCCCCTTTATACTATGTATAAAGCATACGTATATACATACATACATATATGTATGTGCATACGTACCGCCCGCGCTCAGTTGGATACATTCGTATGCAAGCAAGCGAAAATAGTACATATGTATGTAAGCAATATTGTGTGCGCGGGTGCATACGTGCATAAATATATATATGTAAATTCTCATGCATTTAAGAAAACTGGTTTTCTATTGTTGGTGATGAATTTGCAGTTATCCAATGTAATTAGGACATACTTAAATAGTTCAAGGTGAACTTTCTGTTAGTTAGTCGCGGACCAAATCTTGTTAAATACAGTTGCTTAACTTATGCATACATCGTTTGTTTTATTTTAATAGCTGCTAAAAAGGCTTAGTAGCTCAACAGCACCCTTTCTCAAAATTTGTTTGAAGAACGCGCTATCTCAGAATTCGGTTCAAAAACGCCCTATCTCAGCTGAAAATACATTGAAAATATGCTGAGATAGGGCGTTTTTTTTGGAATCGGCAGCTGAGATAGGTCGTTCTTCAACCAAATTCTGAAGTAGTGCGTTATTGAAAAGTTTTCTGAGATATATTTTTGCTGTTCTTCGCGACGTCTTCTGAGCATAAATTTGGTTTACTTATTATTCCGCAGCTGGTTTCTGTTGAATAGTGTACCACAACTTATTTCAAATACCACGATCACTTTTATTGGGCAGAATTCTACATAACCCTAAACATTTTTATATTTACCACTTATTTACATACAACCCGTGTCAAAATTATAAGCATACCACATATTGACAAATTTTTACAATTTTTTGTTAATTAATTTTAGTTATTTTCTATAAAAATAAAGTTTATCCTTAAAAAAGTGTATAAACCTATGTTTCAAACTTCATTTCAATTTGAATTTCAGGAATTTTTTGAGTTTTTGGTTAACTATTTTTCAGATTTGCCAAATACAATATTCAAATGAAAAGATTACTTTCATTTTGTGATTAGCCAAAAATATTGTTCAAACCTTAAACATCAATTATGAAGGATTTAACACCAGATAAATTATTTTGTTGTTGTTTTTTATTTCTCAATGAGAATATTTAATGATCATTGCCGTCATTTCTACGGGTTTTATGTCAACGCATTTAAGTTTAGCACGCGAGAGCTTTGAAAGATAAGGGAGAACCTATATTTCTTTCCGAAAAAATACCAAAAATCATTTAAATTTTAGTGCACCTTAATTTTCTAACTCAGCTCATTTGAAAGTTTTGTAGCCTTCGGAAACTAATAGCCGGTTTCACCAGAAATTTAAATGGAAAATGATTTTTTGTTTTCTGTCGATTTCCATATAAAATTAAAAAAATTAAAATCATTTTTCACTTAAATACCTTTCGTGAAACTGGCTGTATTATTTCTCTATCGATAATTAAGTAAGTGAAATGTATACTAGAGAAAACAGCATGTTCTTATCTATGCTAATTTATTTACCAGAGGTACATATTTTTATTTATTATTTTTTAATTATAATATTTTTTTTTTATAAACATATATAGTTAACAAAATCCATATAAATCCAAATTTCAAACTTTGTGTAATATTAAAAAAATCAACAAACTTTTGTAAAGATTTCGAGCTATTTAATTCGATTTTTCAGAAAGATTTGGAGTATACAGTTTTATAGCCCATTCAACAATTTTTTATATACATAAAGAAAAAGATCAACAACTTCAACAAGAAAAAATTGCCAAAAATCAGCGGTAAGTCTCAGATACTTCGAACATGGCTTTTGTTAAAGAATAAACTATATTTTCATAAAAAAATAATTAACCCTTATGTACTCTTGTTGGTCTCTCAAATCACGATACAATTTTTTAATTAAAATTAATATTTCGTTTATGTGCCCATAAATTTCATACTACGAATATGTAGCTTTCACCGAGTCAGAAATGAGTTATTTAGCGTAGCGAGCCAACGTGTTTGGTAAGAAGCGCGATATAAATACTTATCAAACGATATCTGTCAGGGAATCTGGCAGGAATTTCAAGCAGTACTAATATTTTTAATAATCGCTGTAAGTTACGTCAAAATTTATTGTAAATATTTAAAACATTTTCTTCTTGTTTTTTTAGCGACATAAGAAATCAACTTTGAAAGGCCAAGAGAAATTCCTTACTAAAAATATTCCCTAGTTTCTAGCCATTGTCAAAGTTTCCAATTTTTATTTTGTTATTTTTGTTAACTTGAAGTATTTTGATTTTAAGAGTATTTTTCCTTTTTACTAAATTAATAACTTTTTTGTTATTTTGTTCTTAACATTTAATTGCAAAGTCAAAATAATAATATTTTTACTGGACAGTTTTTGGTGAAACGATTTACATATCGCTCATTAGTGTCATAGTCAAAAAAACATAAATTTTGAGTTGAGTATGCAGAGATCACCACTACCTCTTCTATGTTGTGTATCGATTACCAGTAGCTCACTGGAATAAAATATCTATTAATTTTTATTAAGGGACCGTATATAAATTCAATTTCTCGAGTTTTGCTTTTTTGAGTTATGACACTATTGAGCGCTATATTTTTATTACTTGACGATCAAGTTTGTGTGGTCAACATCAGTAGTTATGTGACTTTTTTTAAGTACAGTACTTAACCATTAAAATAAAAAAAAAAAATAGTCAAAACTTGTCAAATTATTTATAAATTTTAAGCAGAAAACAAACCGATTTCAATGCTCATACGTATAAAATTTAGGAATACCGTAAGTTTCTACACGATTTAAAGATAGGACTAAACCAAATTTGTTCGAGATTAGTATTGAGGTACCACCTTTCAGATAAAAACTATCGAAAAGCTATCCGGTAACATACACTGCCGGAACAAAGTATTAGCACAGATTACTTTTCACAACATATGCAACAATTTTTATTCTATTTTTTTCCGCTAATTTTTTATAAAAATATGTTCACTCTACCATAATAAACTTAAAATTACAAATTTTGAACTTTGTGCAAAACTCGCGAAAATTAAATAAATTTTCAACTTTTTAATCAGATTTTTCGGAATTTTTTTACTAACCAATTTTGTAGCCCATTAAATTCTAGTATACAAAATACAAGTTTAAAGTTAGTAAAACATTTTGATTTTTTTTTTTGTTAAAGGTGTTTAGCACTTTTTTCATACAAATTATTTTCGTTTTTGTATGCAAGAAACTGCGTGAAAAAATTGCCAAAAATCAAACTTGCACTACACTACAATAAAATTCATTCGACTACATAACTGTGTACTCAAAAAAATTCTAAAAAATCTGATTAAAAAGTTGAAAATCTGCATGAAAATTTACTGAATTTTCCTGAGTTTTGCACAAAGTTTAGAAATTATATTTTTATGTTTTTTGTTGTAGTATGAAGCATTTATTTATAAAAAATTAGCGGAAAAAATTAAAAAAAAAAAAATTGTTGCATATGTTGTAAAAAATTCTCTGTGCCAATACGTTTTTCTGGCAGTGTACATAAAAAAAGTATTAAGATGAATTAATAACCTCCTTCTTTCTTGCAGTCGTTTAAAAAAATTTCATGAAAAATCATGTCGTTTTCTTCACACCACTGCTATTTTTTCAAGTAGAATTAAAAAAAAAAAAAACTGTTTCCTACGTAGCACTATCGTCTGGCGACTGCTATTTGCTGACCAAGAGTGCAGAAGTAACCAAATTGATTTGAAACTTGGTGTTTGGGGGTTTTTGTGGTCGCTAATTTCGAATTTGATGTCATATTTTTTTTGAACTCAAAATGGCGGATTCAATATGGAGACCAAATTTTAAAATCTTTCCTTTTTCCCCAAAAACTTTTATATAAGGCGGTTTTCGAGATCGCTGATTCTGCATCCGATGACAGTTTTTTTTGAATTCAGAATGGTCGATTAAATATGGCGACCAAATTTTATAATTTTCTAATTTTCACCACAAACTCATATAAATGCGGGGTTTTCGAGATCGCTGATTCCGAATCTGATGTCAGATTTTTGAAATTCATAATGGGCGATCCACTATGGCGACCAAATTTTACAAAATTCTCCTTTTCACAAAAAATTTGTATATAAATTATCTATAAAAATTAATTTTATTTTACTTAGCATGCTATATGCTAGTTTCTATTTTTGTTAGTCACACAAATGTTACCTTCATTATGCATTTCCATTCTCTTTTTTTGAAGTACCTTTATCACTCGAAGACTTATTCCAATTCGAACTACAGAATGCTGACTACGAAAGAAACAAAAAATGTTAAACTTTTTGTAGAAATGTCAACTTTAACAGCTGATATCTCAACGGGATAACTATTTCCGAAAATAATGTGCATACACTTTTTTACTCTGGAGAATTAGTTTAGTGCAGGGACAAAAAAAATCGATTTATCGATACTTAAAATATTACTTTTGGCCAGCAAATAGTAGCTGCCAGACCATAGTGCGTAGCACAGTAGCTTAAATAATTTTTTTTTTATATTGAGAAATCTTGAAGAGAGGAGACTAAAGGATGACTCATATCTCCGCCATCTTATAATTTTTTTATTTTTTTTTTTTTTTGGAAATTGGTTTCAAATATGTACTGTATGGATGAGAAATAAAACTTTTTTTGTAAATTTCATATCTGCATTAGAAAAATTCTATAATTAATTTTTAACCTATGCCAAAAAATGTTTCTCATAGAGTATAAGGAAGACCGAGTTACATAAGCACTAAAATATTTTGATTTTGATAAAAAATGCTCACCTTTCTTTCGTTTTAGCTTTTTCTGTATTTGAAACGGGTACATTGCGATCACACATTGATAATTAAAAAAATTCGGATTTCACTTTTAAGTGGTATGATTTATTGACCGTTTGGTCTTCTTCACAAAAATGTGCAATTTGAAAAGTACATTTTCATATAATTTACACTCTTATTATACGATGTTTTTAAGTTTACAATTTTTCAAATTTCTTTTCAAATTTCTTTCAAAAAAAAACCTACCACAACTTTGTTGCTTCTTACAATTTTGTAAATTACAGTCTTCAATTTTGAAAATCAGTCATTTATGCCAATTAGTTTGCAATCAAATTGCAAATATAATAAAACCAAAATATCATCACAGCTGAACACTCCATCAATTTGTCAGAGTTTTTCACATCGGCTTACAAAAAAAAAAAAAAAAAAAAATCAGTCACGTACGCCCCACACCACCAAAAAGGCAGGCCACCACACTAAAAACGCTTAATTATTTATGAGTCACATTAACTTCCGGCAACAAAATGGCCAAATAAAAACACACCACACAACACAAAAAAATTAACACCCACTTAAATATCCATTAACCAGTTCACGTTACACCGTGCGTTTGAGCCAAGCGCACATCCTTCACACTACATAACGGTTGTGGAAAAAGAAATGCGTGCGAATTTGTTGCGTCGAGTTGATATCAAATCCGGAAACGGCCACACACACTGATACTGACATTGATAAGGTTGATGCTGACAGCAAAGCCACTGAAATTTTTGGTCAGCGGAAAAAAAGTGACTACCCATATTTTAGGCCGTTGTAAAAAATGCTGCGCCGATTTGAAGGATATGCAAGCATCCGCGAACCGAATGCGACACGGCGTTCACACAGCAACGACACAGTGATGATAACGACCGATTTGGGAGCTGTCGTGCGATGAAATGCCAATTCAACGAAAGCCACACACTGGGCAGACCCACAAAAACCAGCAGGCAAGCTACGGACTACTAGCAGCTGGATATGAAGGCGAATGGGTATGAAGACACAGTGGCAGGCAGCCACTTAGCAGCAGCAGGATGCCCGCATAGTTATAGGGGCGAATACCGTTAAAACACAATAGCACACAACAACAACAAGAGCAATAAAAACCAAAGGATAAACAGCCAAAAGATATAAGGAATTTTGCATTCGCATATTCCACCGAGAACGAATGGTAAGCAACCCTCGGATGGACGATTCGCTTGCGAAGTGAAAAAAAAAAAATCAAAAACTAAATAAACACGAAACAAAGCTGCAAAAATCAAAACAACGAAACGAAGCAAGCAAGAAAATAAAAACAAAACACTAAACCAATGGGTGGGGCTATGCTATGCTGCGCTGCGGCAAACGCCAAGCAAAAGTTGCTGCTTCACCAGTGAGATTCATACGAAGTTAAGCTGGGACAGAGTGTGTGACGCGATGTGTGGAGGTGGAGGCGGCGATGCAGTGGGTGGAAAATCGCGCCAGCAGCATCAGTATCACGTGGTGTTGATCCAATTAAGTCCGTAGAGTAAGTGTAATTTTGTTATTGTAATAATTTGAATTGTGCGACAGCACGTGCTAAACACGTTTCGTGAGCGAATTTGAGTTTCTTACAGAGAGGCATGCAGTCAGCGCCGAAGAGCAACGGATAGCAACGCGCCAAAATGTTTATGAATGAAATTCGTAAAATAAAGTTTTGCTGCGCATGTCCTTGAGCGCTCTTTGCGGACGAATATCGGCCTGTATTATCTTATGTTTATTAAAAGATTTCAGTCTGAGTAGCATATTGCAGCAGAGTAGTCAGACAGCAGCGTTTTTTGGTAGAAATTTTTTCGTGCTTATAAAAACGTAAAATTGAAGCTAATAGAAATTAGAGTTTTTTGCAGATTGTTTTTTGTTTTTGGGTATAAACCAAATGCTTTTAAATGTAAAATAAAACTTGATTTGTGATCATGTTTTTTTATTTGAGTTTCAGAAAAGTACGAATAATACTTTGCCATCAAGAAAAAAATTGTTCGACAACTCCAATGCAATTCTCTGTTTATCACCTTTGTGGATAATTTTAATCCTTTCACTGTAGGAGTCAAAGTGTAAACATTGTTTAGGAAAAAAAGCTTGCTAAATTTTACTACAACTAGGTACAGTGACTCAAACAAGCAATCACATGGTGATTCTTGACAAATATTAACAATGTTTTTCAAGTTAAAATTTTTTTTTTGAATTTTTTATAAAAATGTTGTTCATTCAATAACTAAAACCATGTAATTCAAAGTTTAAAAAATAATACAAAAATTTAGAGAAAATCAAAAAAAAAAATTCATCAGAATTTCGAATTTTTTATCTTAATGTTTACAAAATTTTCAGGTATGCGAGTTTGCGAAGCCCATAAAGTTTTAGTATTATACAGTGCAAGATTCAAGCGACTAAAAATTCGAATTGCTTTTTAATAATTTGCTTGCTAATAGTTTTTTGTACTTTTTTCCATAAAACAAAAAATTAAATTGGAAATCATTTTGAAAAAAAAAACACAACTTGACCGCTTGTTTGAGTCACTGTGTATAGGTTTCTAACACATATACACTAGGACGCATCACCAAAAAGAGATGCGGTGTTTCACCGAAACTAAAAAATTAATTATATTCTAAGACTTACGCCAAAGATTTGCGTGAGCTAGAACGAATTGAAAATACCTCCAAATATCTAATTATTTTGATTCCTTTGATAAAAGTTTTAAACATTTTCATGCAGAGCTTTTAAGATTAATCTTCAATGAACTTCTTCAAAAAATGATCAAAACGCCCTTTACCAAGAATTAAAAGAATTAAAAAAATTTTAGCAAAAATTTCTTACATTCAACAATTTTTATTTAGCTTGAGGCCGTTTTTAATGAAAAATATAGCTATCACTTCTCCCATTTTTACAAGTTGTTGTTGCTTTTCCACAATAGTTTTTCCTTAAAAACGGCCTCAAGCTCAACAAAAATTGTTGAATATAATTGTTATAAGGCCATAAATAACAAAAAAATTTTTTTTTACATTATTTTACCAAACATATCTGGAGAGAAACATGTTTGAAGCCAATTTATACACGCAATTCCATAAAATAAAATTGAATTTATGACCAAAAAGTGTGAATACTAACCCACCGTAAAAACTGTGAAATGAAGCAAACTCCCTAAAAAACAAAAGCCATAAAAATTCCCCGAAGAGTTTCAGGGGTATTCTGCTGCTCCAACGGCCCTGGGCTATATATGAATATGGGTCGTTCCGGGCTTAGAGGTTGACTAACAAGTATGAATATTATCAGTTGGTTGGCCGATGGAAATACGAGGATTTTCGTATTTAATTGATCTATGTTTCATGAAGTGCTATTGGACAACCAGAACTTAAGTTGAGCAAATGCATGGTGAGAAATGATGATGCAGATATGCCACGAACTTCCTTCAACTCCGCTTTGATTTCATGAAAATCTTCTTTCACCATTTTCTGCTTACTAAACATTTTTTGATGACTAATGGTGATTTCGTTTCTACCAAAAAATGTCGCCTTTTGATTGCCCCTTTCTCTTTTCGTGTTCAAGTCTAAATTAAAGGTAAAGTATGAGAAAATTTTGTGTTCCGTTTCTTAAAATGTCACAATCTTGTAAGGTAAAAAAGGCACATTCTCTGCCTCTGGTTGCCCTGAAAATGACCTACTTGACGTATCACTACATATACTCCTCTTATCTGTATACTCCAACGGCTATTCATGGTCGCGAAAAGTGTAAGGGCCAAAATATCATTATTGTACTAGCAAATACCCGCGTGCTGCGCTGTGGCTTAAAATTATTTCTGTGTTCTTACTCCCTTCCAGAGCTCTTATGGCCCAATTCATAAAAATAAAATAGATTTAAAGAATTCATTTATTTTGTAAGGTATTTGGAAGGTAGGTAAAATATCGGATTTCTCATAGAAATTTTTTTTAATTTGAAAAAATCTTCGTTCATTAAAAGTACTACAGTATTAACTAATAGTTTAAGATCTTGTAAGAGAATAAAATTTTTTCAACAGTAAACTTTCCTAAACCTCTTAGTTTTATACTAAATATTTAATTCATCTTATCAGTTAAATGAAATTACAATTTTCAAACAGGGGGCAACCCTCCACAAAAATATTTTCGGCTGTAAGCCTTCTTAAATCTCTTTCTTTTAACAGCTGTATTGCAGTATTTACTTAAACTTGCCGCCTCGGCAACTTTCTAATATTTTGAGTTAGACCTCTAGGAAAACATCGGTGAAAACAGCATTCAATTCCATGCATTAGTTTTTGAGTGATGCGCGTACAGACATATAGACAGGCAGGCAGACAAGCAGACAAAAACTCTAAAAATTGTTTATTTCGCTTCTCTTGGTCTAAAAAGACCGCCTATATAAATTTTACTTTAATATCTTTAATGTAGGGACGTCCGCCTGCTACAATTTTATTATATGTATGTATTATTAAATTATTATATCGACTTAAAAAAATTTATCGGAACATCGAAATTTTTCAAGTTAAAGACATTTATCCAGTTATCGAAGTTAATCGACTTAACGAAATTTATTGAATTATTGTAATGTAAAGAGCTATTTCGACTAATCGAGCTATCGGTATTTCTTGATTTATCGAAATGTGTTGGTAGTTATCGAAATTTGTCGGTTTATCGAATAGGTGATTTTGGAATTTTCAAAGTATATCGAGTTATCGAAATCTCTAGGACGCACAGTTATAGAAATTTGTAGTTATCGAGTTATCAGAGTAGTGTTTCTTAAATATATCGAATTATCGTTATAATTGGAATGAATGCGATGTATGTTTTTGAAATTTGTCGAGTTATCGAGAATTATTGAGCTAACGAAGTTTATTAATATCTAGCGAGTTTTATCAGCATTTGTCGAAATTCGTTGATATGTAGGTATCATAAAGAGAGATTTAGAAACATTGTTGTAGATTTGATTCGCTTATGGTGTATTATTTTCGCATTTTCTTTTGCATGTGCTTATTTTTTGTTTTAAGTCTATAAGAAGATGACGAAAACTTTGATGGTTTAAGAATTTGTTGGTTTTGTGAATTTTTGTTTGCTACGAAGACGCAAACGAACGCGAATACTATCACGAATACGAATACGAAGACCAAGACGAAGACACATACGAAAACGAATATGAAGACCAACTAAAGAGAACGGGAATATGAGGATGATTACGAAAACGAATATGATCATGAATACGAAGACAATTAAGGAGACGAATACGAAGACGATTACGAGTGGAACAGGAACATGAAGACGAATACGGAGATGAATACGAAAGCAAAGACTAATACTCAAGCGAATATAAAAACGAATACGAGGATAAGTACGAAGATAACTGCGCAGGCCAATATGAAAACGAGGACAACTACGAGTCCGACAACGAACACGAAGACAGACCGGAAGACGAATACGAGTGCTAGGACTAATATGAAGATGAATACGCAATTTATACAAATATGTAGTTATATGGAGGCGAAAAAGAAGACGAATAAAAAAGCGATGCAAATACGAATAAGAAAAATGTCTGGAATTTAAAGGGAACTAGAAATCCATTCAGGAAAGTTTCACTTCAGTAGTGTGGTCCAGGCACTGTTTTTTATTTTATTATTTGTTTGTTTAAGGGGAGCTTTTATAATTCACATTTTGTTTCATTTCTTCATGATCGTTTGTTTTCATCTTTCAGCACAGTTTTTGTGGTTGCACAGTTGGTTGGAAAATGTTCCAGGCTTGCGCTATCAATACAAATCTGTTTAATAATAAGATCCCTGCGCAAACGAAAAATTTCAATTCTTTACTGATACTTTAAAATCTTGTGGAGTATGATTTGGTAATTAAATAACAAAAAATATATTAGTAAATTAAAGATTTTACACTTAAGT